TGTTTCAGATCGTATTTCTTAGCAAATTTTCAAAAGTTATTCGAAACAGAGTCAGCTTTCAGATGAAACACATTTCATCAAGCAGTCGATCGTTCCGAACGAATCCGTGCCAATTCTATCGCTAAAATGCGCAGGACTGCTGGGCTGGACACAACAACGACAGCACCACAAATGACTAGTATGTTTTCGAATCAATCGCAATGAAGTATCATTCATTGTGTTTTCTGTCTATCCGTATTAAACAGCTCAACTATCAGCTACCAGTCCATTCGACTTCAATTCACCAGCCATCATCCTGATTTTTATTCTCATTATAACTCTACTCGCTACATTGATCGTATTCTCGATAACAGTTATTGGCATTTATTTTCTCGGTCATTGCCGAAACACCGATCGATCAGCACATTACACGCCAAAGTCAACTCAAACCAGACGTGAGTACTTGCACCCAGCTTGATCACTCATTTCCTTTCGTAATCACAATCAATCACGCCCTTAGGGTTGCCGCAACAAGAAGACCAAGACAAAATTGATCTGTCGCCGGTAATCCGCCCGGCACCAGACCGAGTACCCGGATTCGATCGTCCAACATTCGACAGAAATCAAAATCTTCCCCAGCAGCAGGTACTTGACAACCCACATATCCCACCCGTAAGTAGCACGATACCACAGCGGATGTAAATCTGCATTGAATCATCCCTCTAATAATTTCATCTGCTATTTTAGTCGCCATATTACTACCAATGCGTATGAAACCTGCCATAATGACTTTCATGTTGGATACTTATGTGAACCGGTCAGCACTCAGCAAAACATCTACTTCAAGCATCACTGGGACCACTCCATAAAACTTCACGATCGACCTGTACATTTTTCCTTTTGTAGTTTTCTATACTATTGAGCCACATCATCCCATGACCAAAATAAATTTCAATTTTCTTCACCCACACAGCACGAGTATAGCAAACCGCAAATTGCCCGTAAGAACTGCGTACCGCTTGTAAAAGCCTTGTAGAAGAATTACATCTACTAACACAATAAAGACATAACCGCCACAAACTGAATCAACAAAAACTTTAAAACCAGATCATTCCAGATACAGAAACTAACTCATGTACCAACTTTCTACTACAGGCTCGAATTACAAAGCTACCTGATGAACGGCCCTTGAGAAAGGTCGAAACTATAGTCGTAGCTATCTCTCTAGAACTCACACCCACACCCACACCCTCACCCTCACCCTCACCCTCAATTCAAATCTAAAAGGAGTATTTCTTTCCATCGGATTTTTATTAATATGTAAAAAGAATTCTCATTCGAATGAAATAAATATCAAAGCAAATAATAATTGTATTCATGTTTTTGGTGTTAGCATGGATGACAGTAAGGCAAGTTGTAATCTGTTCTTAGGAGTACTTCGCTTGGAGTGGCAAATATCGCAGTTGTTAAATATTTAAGAACATGATCTCCCCAACGATATCGAAATATACCGTAAGTTTCGTCTACAGCATTGATCCAATGAGTAACTGGTTTACTTTTGAAAAATTCGGTTTTGGAAATATCAAAGTTTGTATTATGTAAACGTATGTGAAAGGGAATGTCAAAAGCTCTTGCCAATCGAACTGGATTTTTGGGAACTATTCCAGTTTTATTTATATATTCATATGTAAATGTTTTTAGTTTCATTAGGCCAGGTAAGATACCTTCAGTATCTGCTTGTTCTATATTAGCGAAGTTAACCGCTGATTGATTTCTCATGAAATCAAAAACATTGAACCAAACTCCCACTAGTTTTGAATCGCTATCAAGTCTCATAACGAATTCATATTTATTAATTAATGGAATATCGAAAATAAGTTTGAACCAAAATCGACACATATGATGATAATTCCATTTGCCTCTTTTCGACCAAGTTGGTTCTTCTCGATAAGGATCGAATCCTTTTGGAAACGTTGTATATATAGCGTCGATATTATAGTAAGTTATTTGACGTTTAGTTTTCAACGTGACCGCATGTAAATGAGGTCCTACAGGATACATAGTGAGAAAAATAATAATGTCTGATTCTAAATTATCAGAAAGATATTGGTCAAGTACTCCGATGCTAGGCGCTAAATCCAGTATTGCCCCGTCAAATAAGATAGCAATCGCAGTTCTGCTTTGGTTTTTCGATGGATTCCATGTTGCGAACGGAGGCGGTCCTGGAGTTTCACAGTGTACGATTTGTTTAATCTCTTTGATTATTACTTTGCTCGGCTTGCTATAAAAGTACCAAGTGACTATGAGAAATAATGAAAAAACTATATATTTTATGTTTGCGCGAGCATTGGCGACAGGAATATTTTCCATGAATATTTCCTGACGACGATAGTTAACGACTAATTTAATTTGTAGAGTTATCTAAAATATTTAGAGAAATCTAAAGAAGAAGAATGACTAGCGACATAAATTATCGAGTAGTCCGTATTAGAAATTGCATATTACATAATTTTTTATATGACAGAAAAAAAAAGTTCACGTTTACATTTCTGCACACTTCTTCTATATGAATTTTTTTCTTCCTTCCTTCTCTTCGTAAATTCACGTGCGTTGTAAGTGAATTTCTTTTTGATAGAGAACGTTTCAAAATATTTGTTCGCCGACCGACAAAAATTTTGCAAAATTGTCTCCGTTCTTACTCGAATCACTCCATCATCCTTAATACAACCTTGTAAAATAAATTCTTGAGTTCGTGTTGACTGTAAATACGGAGAGCTAATCACTGATGGACCATTACTTGACGATAATTAAAGAGAAAATCGAACACAAAAAATTCCAAAAACAAATGAAATAATTTTCAGTAATTTTGAAATGTATAATGTATATATTACACATAACCAAGTCATTTTGTTTACACTTCTCTTACGTGGTTTATTTATCGATCGTCTCGGGGTGTTTCGACTGCACACTCTTCCTTCAACTCTATTTCTTAATTTGTTTCACATTTTATTTTGATGTATAGAAAAAATTAATTTCTGAAAATCACTACACGATTTAGATACATGATTTAAAATATATATGTATCATGTTTTCTTAACAGTTTTTTTTACAAAAGTATTTTGATTTGAACTGTGTGACGTTTCGGTGATCGATGCTTCCTATGTCAGACTTTATTTCGAAAATAAAACGATTACCACACACACATATATTTATATATAGATCTTTTTTCTTATTCTAGTATTTTCCTTCTCTTTTCTCTTGTCGTTCTCTCTATATGGTAATGGGTGGAAAGAAGATGACAACACATTGATCACTTCAACCAGCTATCACCGTTTCGCCGACCGACTATCATATAGAAAGAATGAGAAAAAACGCACACATATTGTGTATGAAAATCGTTCTAATCTCGAAATAATTTATTAATTCAGAAATCTTCTGGAAGAGTGATCCAAAATACTGTTGTTCTTCCTTATTCTCAACCAAACATATTTGTTTTACGTTAGAAAAAAAATGAAATTTACTATGAATATCTAACATCTTTCATTTTTATGTCGTTATTTTTAAGAAAAAATGACTATGAATATTTAAAATTCGTTTTTTGTCGCTATGAGGGAGATTGTCTTTATAGAATGGTGGTTAATGTATGGCTAATTTCGCCAAAAAAGTAATCAAATTCATCATGTTATCGACAATTTGAGTTTTTAAATTCTATCCTTGTAGTGTAGGGAAAAGCTATTTATCGAAATCAATCCTTCCTTATTATCAATCAACTATTTTAAAACACTGTCTGATAGTCTCACTCCTCTAAATACAGACCTAAATGATGTATTGTTATCTTCTGATGATATTCGATTACGGAGCTCTTCCAGACGTTTATATGAATCGTTGATGTAAACACGAAATATGAATATCTCCTGTATATTCTCAGCTCGATAAACTTGATTGATAATGTAATAGAGATATGCACTTTTCATATAATATGTAACAGCTTTATTTCTGTCGCAGAATATAGATCATTTGTCAATGTTACAGTTAACATAGTAATTCACTTGAGTTTGAAATCCGCGAAAAATATAGAAGAAAAAATAAAAATCGAATAGAAAAAAAATCATCTATTTCTTTCTTCTTTACAATTTCTTTATCCCTACGTCTCCGCACAAAAAAAATCTTTTACTTTTTTTTTCTTTGTATAAAATTTCATTGTCTCGCTTTTTCAAAAAAAAATCTATTTGTTTAACGCAAATAAAATAATTAATTTTTTTCTCTCTCTCTCTGTATAAATGTTTAGTGTCCCGTACATCCCCCCATTGAAAAGAATCAGTCAGCATAATCAACTGAAATAAAACAAACTTTTCTTTCATCGTTTTCAATCTTTCAGCGACACGACAACGTACGATCAATCATTGAAACTTTTGTTTTCTATTTTATCTTTCGAAGTTTCAAAAACATTTTCGTACACAATCATAATATTCACATTTGAGAAATGAAAGAAAGATAAATTAAATGGTAAAACAAAAATGGTTGTATTTATTTCGTCTTTTGTTCTATCATAAATACATACATATTCGTCGATAATATTCTTTTCTGTTTGAATAAGCAGTATAGTCGTTAGTATTTAAAAACAATGATAAAATATCGATTATAATCGATATTCTAATAGATATCTAATGAAGTCTTTTCGATACATTGTCCATCATCTTACTGTGTTCGTCTTAAATCGTAGTTCTTCAATAATTATATCATTTGGAATAAAGTTATTCTCAATGGTAATCATGATATTGCATTTATATTTGTTCTAATATTTATTTTTTTAAACATCGCATATGTATCTTCAATACTTTTGATATTGTATCTTATGCTATTGATGGACTTAACACTCACACAACACATTTATTGCAATGATACGCGAGTAGATTTCAATAATCGTTCTTAGTTCATATGTTAACTTTATGAATAGTCCTCTATTACTTATAATTGTTCTCATTCGCATCAACCCAAACTAAAAGTTACTTTAACATTTGTTTGATTTTTAAATTTCCTATCCTTTTTTGTAAGTCGATTATGGATAAGTAATGCTTTCTCGTTTGGTTTATTCGTTTTTGTAAAGAACGAAAAAGAAAACTGTGTATTACAATATATTTGTTTTTTTTAAGCTTTTCTGTTGTTCATTAAAACATGATTTTGAATTGCTGTCTTTCTGTATTTAATTGGTAATTGATTTTATCCATGTTTTATAAGCGGCTACACGAGTATAGACATTAGGTGAATTTGTAGATCCCTTTGTATTGCAGTCTTGAACATAGCTAGCGATACCCGATACAATATATTGTCCATTGTATTGAGCTAGAATAGGTCCATCACTATCACCTTGACATGCTGAACTTCCATCAATAGAATTGGTCACACATATTTGTTTTGAACTATCTAGAGATGACCGCCAAGAATCACATTTATCAACAACTTTCGTAGATGCTTGTTTGAGTATATCATTAACTGTTCCAGCAAATGCTTGAGCACCCCATCCAGCAATAATTATTTGTTCATTTGGTTTTGGTTCGATACCAGGTAAACATGCTGGTTGAATATATGTATTGAATGTAAATGGTGTACTAACACGCAATATAGCAATATCATTTATATTAGTGGTTGTATCATATGCAGGATGAACATGAATTGATTGAACAGCTCGAAATTGACGCGTAGTTGCTTCTGTAGTTGACATTCGATTATGCATTCCTGCAACTAAAGTAATATCAGCTGGGTTTTTTGTGGTAACACAATGAGCAGCTGTAATAATATAATTTGCATTGGTCAAAGTACCACTACATACACCATAACATACATCACTACCACACATTTTCCGTTGTTGATAATAAATCATCTATATAAAAGATATAATAAAGTAAATATTAAAATAGTTTCAGAATTCATTTTTAATACTAACCCAAGGCCATGAATTTGCAATGGCATTTTCTCCACCAAAAATTCGGCTCAATTTATTCGTTTTTGGTTTAATTGTTTGTTTACCACAAGCATTACTATCGAGTGGTAATGGAGTCGTTGTGGTTGTTGTCGTTCCAACAAATGAACCGAGGGCATGGCAAATCTCAAATTGAAACCAATTTTCGCGAAAGTGATACCTCTGATTTCTGCTTATCAACAGAAATTTACTAGCAGCAGAGACCGAAACCGAACCGAATATTCGCCAATTCGATTCGGTTCGATTCGACTCAGGCGAACCGAACCGAACACGAACTGATATTTCAAAAAGAGATCGAATCGAATCGAATCGAATCGTACGCATTGAAAGATGGTCGAACCGACTTGAACTTGCCTTATTCGACTAGTAGTGTCATCTATATTTTTATTCAATATCGAAATGAAATTTACTAAAACGTCAGGATTATATTCAATTGATGGGTAAAAGATAAACATGCGGATTATCTTGTCCTTTGTTG